CCAGTCTCTGGAGAAGGATATCATGTTTGGTAAGGTGGAGGGTCAGAGAAAGAGAGAAAGACCCCCAACCAGATGCACTGGCAAAGTGGTAGCATCAATGGGCTCAAGCATGCCAACAATTGTGAGATTGGCCCAGTATCGGGCAGTGTTTCGTTCTGTTGTACATAAGGTCACTATGAGTCAGTACCGACTCGATGGCACCTAACAACAATATGAGTCATGACCAACTCGATGCACAAACAAGCTGAGAGAAGCCAAATGTATTTTCTTTTCCCCGTTCTTCATAGCAGAGCAGGGAATAAGATACTCTCCCTAATCAATGAAATTTTCCCAGGACTTAAAGGCTAAAATTAACATTTTAAACCATCCATGTGCCTACCTTTGTGGACTAAATCCACTGTCCTCAAACACAGCTATCCCCAAGGCAACAGTTAGGTTCGGCAGTTCCGGCAGTTCCCCAGTATTACAGACCTGGCAATCCGCTCCCGTACAGATTACAGTCTAGGGAACATTCTGGGCCAGTTCAACTCTGTCCTGCAGGGCTGTTAAAGGAGCCCAGGTGGGTTAGGCATTGGGCTGCTAATTGCAAAGTCAGCAAATCAAAAGTCCTCAGGAGAAAGATGAGGCTGTCTGCTCCTATAGATTCGGTTTCAGAAACCCTACAGCGTCTCTATAAGTCGGAATCAACTCGCTGGCAGTGGAAACAGGGCTGCGTATGAGTCAAAATTGACTCAGCCGTGCTGAACATCAAAGCCTAATGCAGCTTTCTTAAGTCAAATTCCATTGTGCTATCAGAAAGCGCCATGTGGTCACACAGCCAATCATGTGGTTGTTAAGTGTAGTCAAGTCGGTTCTGACTCATTCGACCCCATTATCAGGTTTGAATCACCAACCTTGCAGCTCAAACAGACATTGTGGTCCAGTGCTTATCCTACAGCGCCAAACCAGGACTCCCAGTCAATCATAACAGATAAGATTTTAATGCTAACTTACTATGTGGTGGTGTGCCATCTAGTCAGTTCTGACTCATAAGGTTTCCGAAGGTGTAAATCTTTACAGAAGCAGAAAGCCTCATCTTTCTCCAGCTGAGTAGTTGTTGATAAGTGCTGTTGAGTTGATTCCAACCCATAGCGACTCTGTATAAGGTTTCCAAGGAGCAGCTGGTGAGCTTGAACCACCAAACTTGCAGTTCAAACAACTCTGCAGTCTGACATGAGCCCAGTAGGTAGATTCAAATTGCTGATCCCAGGACTTTCTAACTCACTGTGTTGTTAAACAGTATCATCGAGTCATTTCTGACTCATAGTGAACCTGTATGTAGGTTTCTGAGGAGCATATGGTAAGTTTGAACTTGCGTCCTTGCAGTTCCAACTGACCATGAGTTCCAGTGCTTTTCCTACAGCACCACACCAAGACACTTACTATGTAGTTTTGTTGCCAAGTGCTATTGAGTAAGTTCTGACTCAGCAACCCTGTATAGTGTTTCCGAGATGCGGCTCAAGGCCACTACATACTTACTGTGTTGTTAAGTGCCATCAAGTCAAATAGGAATCACAGTGAGCTTGTATAAGGTTTCCAAGGAGTGGCTGGTAAGTTTGAACCACCAACCCTGCTGTTCAAACCGACCATGCAGCCCAGTGCTTATCGTATGGCACCACATCAGGACTCCACTTACTGTGTTATTAAGTCCTGTCGAGTCAGTTCCGACCCGTAGCAATCCTGTATAGAGTTTCTGAGGAGCCCCTGATGAGCTTGTACCACCGACCTTGTGGATCAAACCAACTTTGTAGTCTAACACATTAACCCACAGTGCTACACCAGGGCTCCCACTTACTATGTGGTAGCCTTCGAATAAGCATGTTCAAACTTCTTAAATATTCACAAAAACCCCACGGTGGGTCCTATTTTACAGATTAAGAAACTAGGTCATGGACAAGTTAAGTGGCACATAAGCATCTTGCAGTATTTGTGTCTTAAATAATCACCTGGACTTCTGAAGAGTAGATCTGTGGGACCCTAACTCCTTCCTGCATCTTAGAAGCTGCACCAGTACAGCTCCCTTACCACTCCAACTTCCGAGTTTTTCTAGCTATAAAAAAATGCTATCTTCACAGGGATAGGCCTTCTCCTCACTGATCCACAATCTCATTTTCCTGCATTTTGCATTTACAACAATGGTAACACCTGCCATCTCTTCTGTGTATAAATGCCATACGCCTAGCAGTAGGGAACGCTGGGATATGAGGTGAGAGTAACTCTGACTTTGATAGATAAGGTTATGTGTTGTCTCAGACTGGCTCTGAGAGAAGGCAAGTAAGTGACAAACATATGAATAAAAAAGCTTCAAAACATGCATGGAAAAATTCCATTATCTTTTAATTCCACTTTTCCACAAACTTCTTGAAGCCTCTTCGTATATATGGTGCTGGTTGTATGCCATTAAGTCAATCCTGACTCATAATGATTCTGTATAGGGTTCCCAAGGCTGCAAATCTTCCTCTGAGCTTCAGCTTTCTCCCACAGTGCACCCTGTAGATTCCAACTGCTGACCTTGAGGTTAGCAGCCCAACTTGTAACCCACTATGCTACCAAGGCTCCTTTCATACATGTTGGTTTTGTTTAAGTGCCATCAAGTCAGTTCTGATTCCTACATATAGAAAGGTTTACATCAAGGAAATGGCTCAGGTAATTGTAAAGGCCGCCAAGTCCTAAACCTGCAGATCAGGTGTCAGGCCGGCAGTGCTCCTGACTCACACAGCTGCAGGAGCTGAGGGACCCAAGATCAGCAGGTCACATGGGCTGCAAAGACAGACAAATCCAAGATCAGCGGGCAATACAGCAGATAACTGGCTCAAACCCCAAGAACCCATCAGATGACAAGCCAAATGCAGGATCCAGAGCAAGCAATCAGAGAGCTTGTTAATGTGCCATACATACTGGAGGCGGGCCACATCTGCAAGGAAACGCCCTTGAGACTGAATGACTGCTCTTAACAGAGCTCCTCATGGAGATGATTACGTACCAAATCACAAAACAAGGAGGGACTACTTTACAGACCTGCCAAACCCCTGTCAATCGTGGCCCAGCCAAGCTGACACACAATCTTAACCATCACTTGTCAACTTGGCTGTGTCAAGATTCTTAGTGGTTTGTCAGTTATGTAACGATGTAATTTGGCATTAACATAATGGTATAGTTATCCTCCATTTTCGCATAATGCCAATGTTCACATAATGGCCCCGATTTTGGAATCTAACCAAGTGATGAGGTATACTGTGAAACTGACCAGCTCTTCTCAAACTCCTACCTATACTATAAGCATCATGTTGCTGTTGTGTGCCTTCAAGTCAGTTGTGATTCACAGCAACCCTGTATAGGGCTTCTAAAGAGTAGCTGGTAGGTTTGAACTGTCAACCTTGCAGTTATCAGTCCAGTGCTTGTCTCACAGCACCACTCCAGGGCTCAAATCTTCTTAGGCTTTTTGTTAATAAAATGAGAAAAAAAATTTAATTAGGATTTATTCTTGCATTCTTACAAGGTTTTGTAAAGCATGCATACAAGAAAATTCTTTCCCATGAATGCCAAGCCTATATTGCTCTTTAAAAATTAAAGAGATTCTAGAAGTTCTGTGTAGAGTCTGGAAAATGTTGCACTTCTGTGCTGTGCTGACTAGCTGGCATTAAGTCAGCCAGACAACATTATAAAAGGACTACTCATCTCAGTGATCTTAGTTAATCTTAAGAGTTAAAAAGGGTTAAAAACATGGCATTTATACCCAAACTGTTATAATGAGACCTGGAGTCTCAAAATGCTGTGAAACTGTACAAGAACCGTCTGGATGCTAACACTGAGACATAATGTTAGCTTATCAATTCGGCCCCATTTTTCCAAACTGATGATGTAAAGGCAAAAGTATCATGTCCACCAACTAGCAAGATAGAAAACTTGTTTCCTAATAGTATGTTTATATTAAAATATATGTACATGGTACTGGACAGAAAATTTCAAGAACTTAAAGTTATTCAACTTACATTACAATCTATTTACAAAAGTCACTAGAATGAAAGGAACCCTGTCCTAAGTGGAAAACTACCTGCACTTCTCTTGCCTACATCTCTTACTCAAGTAGTTTGTATGGGAAAAGCTAAGTTCTCCCAAATAATAGAATACTTCATAGCTTTGTGTTTTTTTGTTCTTTTATGCATAAGGTTGCCATGAGTCAGAACCAACTCGCCAGCACCTGACAACAAACTTTGTTTAGTACCTTTACATAATATATAAGCACCTACTTTTGAAATTATTTCATTGTATGTGCAAATAATGGACACTCTACACATAAATTCTATTTTCCAAAAACAAGAGTTTATTTTAAAAAGAAACCAATGCAACACATTTTAAAAAAAAGCACTGGGGTGACTCTGCATGTAACTTAAAGCTAAACTGGAAAAATAATGCTGGTTCTACCAGGAATCTCCACTTCAAATTGAGTACTCCACCATGTGGAAATTAATAGAATTAGGTCCCATTTCAGAAAAGCACTACTCAGCTTTGATCCCCACCATCCACAACTGACTAGGACAGCTCAACAAGGTCACAACAACATAATTCGGCTTCAATCTACAAGGTCATATGCTCTTCTAAGATCGTACTAAATCTAAAATCTTGAAGGAAAAAGAA